TTACACCTACGTGGACACAATTTTTCCATCAAAACACCTTCCAATTTGAAAAATGGTTACGACGTTGGAAACTTCGCCGAGATCTGATCCAGTATTGGCAGGCTTTTCTACAAGACTGTTGGAATTTGCAACTTGATTCAGGTCAGTTGTACACTCAAAAACGTATTCGACAGGCTCGACAAAGGATCGACGGACTTATTGCTTCCCCAGCAGATCATTTTCCATCGTCTCTCACCTTACATTGTCCTGTCCAGTGGCACAATTTGCTGTGTAAGACATTTCAAGACACCTCTGTTTTTCATCTTTGTAATGTTGATTCAGCCACTATTCTGAAGAATATTCAGTATGATCTTCCTGGATGGATCACTGACAGATATCCTTGGGCTTTCGATTTTCATTTATCATTAAGCAAGGCGTATATTCTTCCAAAACCTTCACGCTCGTTTATGAAAGCACGACCCATCGTTAATTACAGTCGATCTTGGCCAAAACAGATGGGTTATATTTTGTCTGTGGTGTTGCAAGATATTTTGAAAGTTGTTTATCCATCCTTACTTCGCTACAGTGATATCAACAAGGTGATGAACGAAATCAAATGCTTTTTCCAAATTGATCATGGTGCTGACCTTCTTCTCTTTCAGACTGATATTGCTGGTTTCTACAACCAAGTTGAACATGACCGCATTCTCGGATCTATTGAATTCGCCATTCATCAATATATTTTACAACATGGACAGACCTTCGATTCTGTACTTCAAGCACACGTATATCAACATGAACGCACCCTGCGAGTTTTTAGAGGTCAATGGCGACAACACACCAAGATGTATCGTGATATTCGCTTGGGCGACATTCTACCTATTTGTAGCTTTCTGTTGAATCACAGTTTTTTCACCGTCGGAATGTCTACATTTTTACAAAAACGTGGTGCCAGCATGGGTAGTCAATGGGCACCTATTTTCTGTGCAGCTGTCGCACTCATGCGAGAACATACTTTTCTGTCCTGTTTTCGTCAATTTACCAACAATTCCACTTTTCATCATCGTTACGTTGACAATCGAGTGATGCTACTTCCTGTGGGACACTGGAACTCAGAAATGCAGTTATTTTGGAATCTTTCATTCTATTCACCTCCCATTCTACTTGAACAAGTTGAAGGATCTGAATTGTTAGGATACAACGCTGACGTGTTACAGCGTACAACTACATATCTTCAACCTGTGGACAAAGCGTTTCGTTCAACAAGGAGTTCAAGTACGACTAAGGCACTCACGTCCGGAGCTCTGGCCAGAATTCGTCTCATTTTGCAGAATACATGGCCCAGTTCTCTACAAATACCTCAAATTCAAGATTTTCTGTCCATTTGGTCTCGACGACAACGTGATGTATTGTCTTCTACTTTGAGAAGTCAGATTATCAAATTGGTACGCTCACGTCATCCACAACTTGATCCTGATTCTCTTTTTCACTTTGACTAGATACCATGACAGGAAACGCAGACAAAACAGTTGCTGGATTTCGCATTGTCGTGTTTTGTCGTCATTCGCTATCACTTTCGTGAAGTCATTTGATGTTGGACATTTTCATCAATGGGCATTCTTTGACGTTTTTCATCTGAAGTTCGATAACGTCACACTGTTTTCTTCTTTCTCATTTACCTTTTCAGTTATGTTCATGTTGTGTTTTTCTCAACTCAGTTGTTTTCATCATACTTTTGCCGATTGCGAATCTTGACTTTGACAGTTCGAATCACACGTTTTTGAATTTTGAAGAGTATATTTAAGCTCAAACTCAAACCAATCTATCTCCTTCTTACGATGCCTTCGTTGCGTGAACTTAGCAATACTTTGGAACAGTGGTCCCTTCGGAAACGTCTCACCGATCGCTCCAGATCGCCAGTTCGGGAACCCTATATTTGTGATGGTCAGACACGTTCGAGTATCAAGAACGCTTCAGTTGAGTCTCGTTTCGAAAATGAAAGTGAACGATCCAGATCGCAAGTCCGGGAGCCCTATAGTTATGATGGTCAGACACGCTCGAGTATCAAGAACGTTTTGATCGAGCCACTTTCTGAAAATGCAAGTTCTACATCACATCGACGTCAAGATCGGTCTTTCACTGCAGCTGATGGTTCATCTGTTCAGTCCTCGTTCCCTTCAACCGATCGTTTTCAGAAGAGTCGCTCTCCAACGGGAACGCAGTCCGGACCCTTATTCTGTCCCAAGGAGACCATTTGATTTACAGTGAACCTTTCCCATATGTTGTACAAGAATTTCTAGGACATGTATATATTGCAAACTGATACTGCGATGAAAAACAGCGTTCACCAGCAGCTGCCTCCCCTGCCGGGGGGGCCATTGTGTGTGTGAAATCCGCTATCACTCATGCGGACCTGAGTTTCTGTTAACAAGTTGATTCAAACAATCCATCAGATGCAGGGGCGTGCAGCACCTTTGGCATACTGCACGCAACGAAGCTATTGCCATTGGTGGGAAGGGGAGACTGATCACCTCCCTGTACCTGCAGAAGTTGGTTTTGAACTGTTGAACAAGCTGTCCATTTTCATGCGTATATGTTGCTAATTTGAGATTATCTCAGAAATCAGAGTTTCCCACTGCTTTCCCTACTCGACTGACCAGGATTTTGGACCTAGGAACCCTCAAGGCATGAACTACTTCATCACTATAAAGTTCCTCATTCGAGTAATGTTACTCAGTAACATGCTCCGATCAGCAGTGTGTGTGCGTGCATATGCATTTGTACCTGCTCATGTGACATGGCACAGCTGTTTGTTGGAGCCCATCATGAGGTGCAGTAAGGATATGTTTCCAAAATCCCTTCAGATCTTTCATCCTGCTGTTGACGATCATGTTTGTCAGGCTCCAGATTGGTTTAAGATATTCCCCATGTAATTCATGACTTGATCCGTGCCCCTATTTACCGCCACTGAAACTCAACTGATGTTTTCACAACCCCCATTAAATACGAACTACAAACCTTGGTTCAGTAGTGGCCCTTGGTGACAGTCACGCTGCTTTTGTGTGGCGGGCGTGGCAGAATGTGGCAGATTGATTCAGATTGGCACTTTGCGTGGCAGGGGTAGAATTTGGTGCCGTTGACGGTGCTTGATTGTGTGATATTGTGTGGCAGGCGTGGCGCTTGGTCATGCTGCTTTTAAATTGTGGCAGGCGTGCCAATTACAGCGCTGGGCTGGGTCAGGTGCAGGCGTCTTTTGCGTGGCATGCATGGCACTAACGGCACTGGACGGGGCCCGGTGGCGCGCTATACATTGGGCTCCTACCTCGCTTGTGGCGGTAATCGGTGCCAATCGCTTGTGGCAGTAAAAACGGCTATTTTTAACTGCCGCAAGTGATTTTTTAACTGCCGCAGGTGATGCTCGTTTTTGCGCGGCAGGTGCAGCATTTCAAGGCTTTATCGCTTGTGGCGGTAAAAAATATATCGCTTGTGGCGGTATGTGGGTGTCCTTGATGCCAGGGTATAAAAAACCAATCGCTTGTGGCAGTACGCTGCTGCGACTGATGCATTCTCGGATGCAGGGCAGGTTCTATGAGGAAGGAAGCGACATTGTGCACGTGCCAAGCTTTGATGCTTTTCACGCGACTTGCGGCTGTTGTTGCAAACATGAATTCTGTTGTGCCGTGAGCTGTGCTGCTGCTCTTGCACGTACTGTGGCTCAGATTCGGATGATGCATGTGTGCTTGTACTTGTACATTAAAAGGCCAGACCCTGCTACGCAGGCATGAGGCTTCTTAGGAGAAACTGCTGCTAGACTTGCGTGTGTTAGTTATGTTATACGGAGACGTCGCTGCTATAACTGATTTGTTGTTGCTGCCTTTGACGGTTGCTGTAGTGTGGCCGGCGCAGCAGGGCAATGTTTGATTTCGTACGGTGCTCCATGTCGCTGAAAAGGGATTGCATGTGGAGGGACGCGTGCTGGATGTTATGCTAGAAAGCTTTGCTGCACTCGCGCACATACTTGACGTTACGTGTGGGAAATCTTTTGTCTTAGCAGCTAGAAATTACTCATATATTGTTTTCCGCAAGCGAAATGTAGATCCTACTCTTTTCTTCCCTAGCCTCACCCCGCCCCCCAAGGTTGAAGTGGGATGGTAAGCCGCAGGAAGTCGAGCAGCGGTTGTGTCCCTATAATGAAGTTAAGCAAGGGGTGTGGCTGGTAGATCCTACCCTTTTCTTTCCTAGATCCACCCCACCCCCCAAGGTGGAAGTGGGATGGTATGTCGCAGGAAGTCGAGCAGCGTCTGTGTCCCTATAATGAAGTTAAGCAACGGGTGTGGCTGGTAGATCAGGTAGATCCTACCCTTTTTCTTCCCTAGCCCCACCCCACCCCCCAAGGTGATTCTTACTGCCGCAGGTGATTTGTTTGGATAAGTATTTACTGCCGCAGGTGTTTTTTGGAATACTGCCGCAAGTGATTTGTTTTTACTGCCGCAAGTGATGGGTCACCCCTCACGGTCACACACACAATTTATCACACACACACAACAGGCGTGGCACTTACAGCACTGTAACATTGTTGCTGCTTTTGTGCGGAAGGCATGGCGATATGAAGATGCTATCTGAATGGTATCAGTTTGATATTTAGCCTGGAAAGAATTGAAACCATTTTTTGACTTTTTTGATATTTTTTGGATGTGTGGGACTCTGAGAATGGAACAGTGACTGCGGCAGAAACCGGGCTTGAGAACAATTGAAATATTGTTTCAAAACAGTAGGCGTGGTAGAACCCCAGCATGGAAACAGCTGAAAGCATGTTATGAGTGGTCCCACATGACAAAGAGAGATGTTTTAACATATTTTGGTTTTAAAACACTTTTGTTAAACAACAACCATGAAATTATAGACACCTTTCGAAGTTAGCGAAGTTGATTTATAGGCCGGCTTAATGCAGCGCCAACGACGTTACCGTGATTTAAACTATATTGGAGGGGTGTTGGCTATAATCAAGCCTGAGCCATGAAATGCGTAGCCGTGGCATCCTTCGCTGGTGGGCTGCTGCTTGGCAGCTGCATCGCCTTGGTAGGTCTTCGTGGTTTCCTGCTGCGGCAAGATACCCTTTTGCGACAAAGCTCCCTAGAGAAACTGGCACCATCACCCAATGCTGCCAGCAAGCCAGCTGGAAGGCCCCTCCGTGGCCAGTGGGGCCACAATCTTCAGGACGTGTTCCTCCCCCTCCTTCACCTGATTCACCCGGTCAAGATCCTAGTGGTGTGCGAGAGTGCCGGCAGCGCTCATGCCTAGGCGTGACGGGTGGGTTCGTGCATTGGACTATTGTAATTTGTTTTTTTTCCTTGGTGTATGCGAGCCAAGGTACAATGTTGCTTGGGATTGCTTTTGAACAGTTTTGAATTGTCTAGACTGCCAGCTTCCGGGTTTGAGCGGCCCGAAGAACCACACAGCACTTGATACAATCAATTTAATTAATTAACATAAATGGGTTTTGGAAGGATGCTCAGGGCCCATCAAGGCCCATGGTTTGTCTACAAATTGGGCCCTAGATGATGGCTAAAACAACCTCTGAAAATCATCTTGATGAAGAAAACAAGAATCATAACCATGTTTGAACCTCTTTTTGGTGGTGATTTTGTAGGGAAGAGGCCTGCACACCACGTTGTACACTTAGGTCCAGCATTTGGAGAAAAATACCGGGTCCACTACTAAGTGGCTGGCTCCAACCCCCACCACCCTAAATGGCAGGGGGATGTGCTGTCACTGTGTTTTCTCCAACCAGCATACTTCGCCTCACAGAAAGAAATTTCGCTGCAGGCAGTGATATTTCTGAAATCCATAGGTCCACGATCTTGCTGGCGACGGGCAAGGAGCGGTTGCCCATTTTTCATGGCCCGGGTTTCTTCCCACTGTACGTCGTCACAGCGGACATCGAGGCACAGGCCCTTTTCGAGGTGGGGGCCAACAGCCTATTGTATGCATTGGAACCGTTTCAGGACTTGCCATTTACAGACTTTGCGGCGGACATGGTTGTACTTGATGTGGGCGCGTTTCCGAAACACTTGCTGCGAGGTGTTGTCACTGAAGCCGTACGAATTTTGGCACAGTTGACATCTCGCAGTTCAGCCCACAGGCAGGCTGGGAAACTTGTTGTGGCTGGTTCCTATGCCCACTCCTTTGTGCGAAGGTTGGGCGTAGTCCCAGGCGTGCAAAGGATGCGGGATGAGACCTATGTTTGGCGAGCGTTCCATTGAACTACCCCCAAAAAACCAATGCCAGGCATGGGTACACCAGGCTTCAAGTCAATTTTCGGTCCTGAAATAGCGAGCAGGTTCTCTCCCAATAAGAGCGTTGAAAACCAACGCCTAAAATGGCCTAAAACTTTGGCATCGGCCAAATGCCATAAGAACTCAGCAGGTACTCTCTGAATGGGTTGACGGGTATTCCCAACGGAGGAAGAAGGCGTATGAAAGATACGTGAGTCCGGAACCTGTCAAGTTGCCAATGCGCCTGGAGCTGCTGGTGAAAGCTGGAAAGATCAAACGCATTTTGGACGCTGGAGCGGGATCATGCACATTGGAGGGCGAGCTCCGTCGCAAGGGATATTTGAAGACAGTTCATATTTTTTTGGCCTTTGGCGCTTATGATTGCTCCATGCGCATGGCTCCATCTCCTTCAACATAATTGGTTCATTCCCTTGCCAGTGTGTGCTGCCTGCAAATTTGACTTGATTCATCAGTTTGCAGGTATGAACCACATGAAGACTGTAGACCAGCATGACAAGTTTCTCAGTAACATGTTGGCCCTCCTTGAGTGCAATGGAGTGCTTTTTGTCAATGATCACACCGCGAGGGAGGTGTGGACTGTCCTACTTCGCCAAGTGTTGGAACTTAAACGGGAACAGAAGCTTGCACAATATGTGGAGAACAAGGATGGATACTTTGAAATGTGTCGAAATTGCTAGTTTACCATGCAAAAAAATATGACCTCATGCTCCAGCTCCGAGATGCTGGCGCGACATGAAACTCCCAGTCGCAGAGGGAAGAAAAGGTATGCGCCTTAGCCTTTCCCATCAATTCCACGCTTCCCATGGAACAGCGTAAGTATTGCGCATTTGCAGATTTATGACATCGCAATGAGAGATTTGTTTATGCAGGTTACGGCCGAGATTTTCCCACCACAGCAGCCCCTATTTGCTGAAATGTCCCCCGTGGAGTTTGATTCCCATGCCTCTCTGCAAATTTATGTAAATTCATTCTCTGTAAAAAGTCCATTCGGTCAGGAATACCTCTTGCAGCTGGAAAAACGCATTCAGGCGGGGCAGGGCCCTCTTAAAATTCCCCTAGGCAAGAGACTCAGAAGTTGGGGGATGGAATCCCAAGAATATTCCAAAGTACTTCAAAATCCTACGGGGAAATCATCACCTGAATTCTAGGCGCGACCTGGCCCCACCCATTTCACCACCCCAGAGGTCATCGAGAATCGAAATGTGGAGGTGGTGCATTGGAGGAGAACCACGGGGGAAAAAACCATCGGACTCCCCACCCCTTCCACCAATTGAAGTTGCTGAGGAAGCATCCTGTTGAAGTAGAAAGGAATTTTTCAGGTGTGCGATGTTTGCCCCCAAGAATTGATCGACATTGTGGTACTTGTGAATTCAATAGTCTTACATGCAACTTATCAACTGACATGGAAATGGAAAGGGCTTTATCATGAATTTATTTACCTAGAGCAACCAACAATATTTTTGTAATACATAAATTAGTATTAATTAGTCATGCTCCGCCTTAGCCTTGCTAAGGGGTGTGCAAAAACTTCATTCTCGACAGGGGACCCCCAAAACCCCTGTTTTGCATGAATCGCTTCACAGTCTGTGAATGCTGAAATCCTCACTACTGATAAGGGACGACCCTCATTTGCATAAGGCATGAAAATGAAAAAGTGACTTTGTCCGCCATTCGTGTATTGAAGATGTTGGTTTCTTATTGCCAGGTTACATTCGATGTTTGCTAGCTTACAAGTCTGAACCACCAAAAATTGTTGGTATTTGCTGCTAAAAGCATGTTGTTCTAGCACATGGGCACGTGGTGCGAAACTCAAATTCGTGTGGGGCCTTAGCAGGATCGAACATGTCGAAGATGTGCGATCTCAACATCAGAAGGCTTGGCCCTGCCTTGAAAGATTCCTCAGCGTCGGTTGTGATAGAAACATCCAACTAGACTGGCCCTTGGTCTTGTGTGAACTATGTGGACAATGATGAGAATTCTGACACAGCGAAAACGAATTTAAGCCCAGTTGGTTTTGATTTCCCCCTCAAAAAATACAAATTTCTCCGAAATAAATGAAATAAGTATTCAGTTATCCCAATTAGTTCTTTATGACATGATATATATATATATATATGTATTTATTGTACAGTAATTATGATATATGTTCATTTGCAATGAATTCCCAGCTGTGATAACTGATTGGAACACCGCGCTGAATAACCCAGAGGTAGTTTGCAATCCCACTTGAAATGTATGATAATAATCCCAATCAGCATCATTATATATCCCAGAGATGATTCTGATCGAAAATTATTATCAGATAATCGGGATAACTTTTGCCAATCTCCCTCTGAAAATCATTTGCTATCCAGTACCAAGTTCCCCCGAAATTATACCCTCTGGTAAACTAACATAGCTATTGAAAGTGGTCATTTTTAGTGAGTTTTTCCCATTAAAAATGGTGATTTTCCATAGTTATGTTAGTTTACCGGAGGGTAAGTCCTAGTCAGTTACCTTTGGTAATCAAACATTGCTTGCTGGAAAAGCCGCCATTTAGTTCGATGATTTTCGCAGCAAACCAAACCTCCCATGTTTTGGCGGATTTCCCGGCGACAAACCTATCCATATTTACTGACACCGGAGGGTATATTCCCACTTTGTCTCAATGTTCATTATCCCACTTTATAAATAATTCTTTATCATTTAGCATCATTTAGCATCGTTTACTCCATGGCTTGCCAATCCAATGCATTCCAAGTTGCGAACTTCGACCCGATTCTCCCAGCTGGGGCGAGGGCGCCTTCCTGGCCTCCCCGGAGTTTTCAGCTGGTGGTCTCGGAGGCTTCCGTCCCTTGGCAGCCGGTGGCTTGGATTGGCCTGGAAAGGTGTCGATGTTGCCCTGGGCCCTGACTATTAAGGTAGTTCTACGTAAATACCGATCACGTAATACTAAAATCTACTAAAATGATGTTGGCCTTATCTATATTTATATACCTGGAGTCTCCACTACGCCTTTTATCTTCCAAGCAGGTGCTGGCTATATACACTAAGCATTACTAAGCTAAATCATGTGAGCGTTTTGCGCTTGTCCTGTCTGATGTTGTGTCAGGCACCCTCACACATCATTCAGACCCAGGCGCATAACTAAAACTTCTTGGTTGAACAACTCTGGATCCACAAATCGTGTCGAAATATAAGACCTTCGCCTGCTTTTTACAATGAGTTGCGGAAGCAAACATTTGTACATTGCGACACTTATGCGGAATATACACGGGGTTTGAGCACGTTCACTCGCCCTGATCTTGTGCTGCCAGCTGCTTAAACAGGATGGACGGACGGAGGTGGAAAAAATAGTGCGTTTAAGTCTTTTTGGTTCGGACGGGTCCAAGCTGGACGGATAGGACGCATTTTTCCGTACTTTCGGACGCCGTCCGGACGGCCCTCAGCAAAAAAAAGGTACGTTTGAAGAAAAAAGGCCTTTGCATGTTTGCGTTGTATGGGCAAATCTTCCAAGGACAATTTGTCACCAAAATTGAGCAATGCACCCGTATGTCCGCAACTGAGTGTTGAGACCTACCCTCATGCGTGCAATAGTGAAAGAGCAAAGCGCGTCCAAAAATCAAAGCAAGGAAGATCGAAACCATGACATCAAACACGTAAACGAGAACCAATACTTTGGAAATCTTTGCCCCTGCACCTTCAAGCAGCCAAAATAAAAATGGCACCTGCAACCATGAGTTGCAAGTTGGCAATGTGGCACATTTATTTGATTTCCACAGTTTCAGCTGTACCTCCGTGAGTGAACATCACTAACATGCAAAAAAACAGTACTTGATTTCAAAAAAAGTACTTTCAGAAAAAAATACAATTGTTCTTGAAAGACCAAAAATTAACGGTCATTGGAGAGTCAAAGTAAATATATATATATACACACACATACTGAAGACTAATGATGATGGACTACCAAACCTCAACTTTGATCATCGAACCCTAGTCATTCGCGAAGCGCTCATTGATGCAGCAAGGGCTTATAAACCCCCTTTCAACTGATCACAGATTTTGGTGTGATCAAACTCGTTTTGAACGATACTCTGTGTGAACGAACTCTATGTGAAACGTCTACAATCGAACTCGTTTTGAACGCTACTCTGTGTGAACGAACTCTATGTGAAATGTCTGTGCGTGATGCGCCAGGCACGGAATCCAATAATTAGTTACTTGCCAATTACTCCTCTGCAGAACGATACATGTACATGTAGATAAATTCCTGTTTACTAGTAGAGTTTTGTACAGATTGCTGTCTTCAAATTTCACCTTTGCGTAGACTGATTTTCTTTCCGCCTCATTTTGCCCCTCCATAATCATTCGAACAGCAGGGTAGGGCCAACGGCCGTAAGTCGCGAACTAAATCGGCTTTGGCAAAAAATATATATATATATATATGCGCATAATTCATGGAACAGCCCAGGGGCTAACATTAACCCAGAAAAAAATATGCAAGAACTCAACAAATTCGGGTGCTGACAGGACGTTTTTTTTCAAAGATCAATGAAAATTATATTGAACAAAATAACATGGAAACATCGATTAGCTTGTTCTTTTGTGGGACTCGACTTTCGTCCTTTATTCCTTGCTCCTTCAACGGTGGGCCACTTGTCGCGTGGGGCGTGGTGCTCTGAGGTTTTCACTTCTATCCCAGAGGCCCGAGGTTTAAGTGAAACTTGCGGCAAAGCGAGAGGAAGGCATATGGATGTGATTGGATGTGTAATTATAATTCATATGGCGGAAGAATGTGTTGTGTAATTTGTTTGGGCCTTTTTGGCAGTTGGGAGCCCCATGTTGGTAGCTTAGACATCATATTATTGAGCTGGATCAAAGAGACACTCATGGGATTTCTTCTCCCAAAAAATGGGTTGGAAGCAGCGACAATGACATGATTGGCTTTCACGATTGGAAATTACGGTGCTGTGTTGCAAATCATGCGCTGGTGTTGTCGGGGCCATATCCAGTAGAATCATCTTTGAGGCTCCGTATTCAGGTTTCATGTTGAAGTTCATCCACTAAGTTGCGTATTTTTCAATATTGATCAGCACATATCAGCACTATTTCGGATGCGATCCAGTAGTTATCCAACTACTTCATGTAAACATCATGTATTCTACAGTTAGAAACTGTGTAGTCCAGCAGCTAGCTAGCCCAATTTCAAATAGCCCTTCAACAACCCAGAGATCTACGAGATTTGGTGCAACTGCTGGTGCCAAAAAAAAGGGTAGCTACTTGGTTGTCCTTGAAATTAATCCTGCCGCCTGGTAGCCAAACATGAAAACGGAAAATCCACCATTCATAGATTATTTCCCAGCTAGAAACATCCATTTAAAGTATAATGTCAACATGGGATTTTTAACCACCCGCAATAAAGTACGCCAACTCCCGGAAAAAAAATAATAAACCCCCCCCGTAATAAAGTACGCCAACTTGTTTTTCCCGTTGTTTTTCCATTTTTTCCCCTTTAGTATTCGTTTTCAATTAGGGAATTCATTTGTGAATACTCAATTTTTTTCCGTTTTTTCCTCTTTTTTTTCCTTTATGTATTCGTTTTCAATTAGGCAATTCATTTGTGAATACTAAAGTTCCAAGAAAGTTCACTTTATGCATTCGCTTTCAAATAGGCAATTTGTTCGGCGCCACATAGGTC